CTTTCGTGAACAGGGCACTGAATAGCCCCAGTAAGCAAGTTTATACAGATGTTGTTGAGAAAAGTTGTGGCGCTAAGGTGTCGCCAAGTGGCGCCAAATGGCGCCGGCCAAAACCCAATGTCGTAGAATATGAGCATACCCTCGGATACAGCTCGGCGAGCTGATTCTAATCATATATGGGTATCTATACAAAAAGTCAACAGGAACAGCTCTATAACGAAAAAACGAAAAAAAACGCGGATCGGCGTTTTTTTCGTAATTTTTTGAACACTTACGGTGGATTGTATATGGCAATGTCGTAAGTTGGGTTATGGTCTTCATGGCTACCCCTAATCCTATAGCCTTGATGCAGATATTTGAAAAAAATCGCCTGTTTCAGGGGCTAAGGTTGCCTTGCGTAATTATTCACGTACCTTAGCAGCGTCTCGTGTTCGGAGATAGTAGACAAAACCGAACCCGCGGCTTCTTCCCGTCATGTGATCACGAACAATTTTTATCTGTAAATACTTTTATTTTTCGTTTACTTTATCTTAAAGTATCTGGAGTTTCAATGATGAAATAGCGTCCAGCGTACATACATAGTCAATTTCTCCAAATTCTCCAAAAATATTTTCCAGATCCCGTTCTGAAGTATCGACATTCATTCCAAATATACCAACGCATCTGAATAAAACTATCATTGTTTGCTGATCACACTGTATGTATGTAATAAGCAGTAGCTACGAGTAGCAACCAATAGACATAGGTAAAAGTAGCCAGGCGTTGAGGAAGTTGAAGGAAGTCGGCGTCGAGACTGAGCTGGTCCGAATTTCTTCCTGTCTGCATCCTCTCAGCAAGGTAGTGCTTCATGAAGTTGGCAGCGTTCGGACGTTGCGGCGGACGTAACAGCGCATCCTAGCGCGTTACTGCGCGTCATCGCGAATTATGGGCTAATGCCGTTTGGACTCCAGCAATTTCGGCACCGAGCTCATTTTTAAATTGCCTAAGTCACCAAACCCGCTGAAAACGTACACAAGGGTTATTTACATCGTGATTACAATTATGACACTCTTGGCGCTGGCGCCAAGAGAACGCCTACGATTACGCTTCTGGGCTGAGCTAAGCGAGACCCAGATAATCGTAGTTTACATCCATTCGCGGCCAGCGCAAGAAGTGAATGTCTGAGCTTGGTGCCGAAGTTGCTGGAGTCCAAACGGCATTAACCCGAATTATGAACGCTGCCCTAGGGTGACCCGGTGAAGGCGCACGTGAGTGGGGACAAGAAAAGCTGCCTATCGCGAGATGTCTATTGAACATAGGGTGGTCGTATGGTTTGCTGGAAGGAGGGAGGCTCACTTGCCCTGTAGGAGAACATTCTTAATCGTTGACTTTTCCCATCTCGGGAGCGCTACGTACCCTTCCTGGTCGTTGAACCGACTATTTTGCTATTTTTGAGGGTTGACCGGGAGTTATTAGTCGCTAGAGGAAAGCTGTCGTATTTGCCGTTGTAAAAACTTTTGGTTGGCGGATTTTCTCAGTTTTTTCTGTTCGGGGGCACTACTTTCCTACCCCCACCCTTTCCGTCCGCTTCACGCTCGACAGCGGTTTATTTTGGCCGAGAACTCCGAAAAAAGGTAGAAGATGGTAGAATTAGGGGAGATGAAAGAGGAGATGGAGAACGATGGGGGAGGAGGGGGTCTACGAGAGGAGTGTAGTTGGATGGAGGGTGGGGGGGGTCGTTTTTTTTGCAATATGTTTCCCAACGGCAGTACGCACCCTGACCGCCTCGTATGACCTCATGCTCCCTAGACTACATACAAGCTGCCAGCCTGCTGCCCCAGCTTCCTCTTACGTATCTCTAGAAGAATTTCGCCTTCGCAGAATGGACGATACTAACGAGCTCAACACCCCTTCTCAGTAATGCAGAAACCGTTCAAGAAACAAATCGAACCCCTCCCTTCTCAACGACTGAATTTAAACCTCTTTTCCCAACCAAGCTTTGAGGAATTCGCGACTAACGACAGGCTTTTCCCCAAACCACTCCACCGCGAAATAGTAAATACTGATCAGTGACATCCCGAACAACGAACCTGCATGGACGCGCATCTTCTCGTCCGTCGCGAAACCTCGATCTGTAGGTCTCATGTGGTGGCGAACGCGAACGGCTTAAATATTCGTAGATCGTTCTGTGCCAGGAAAACACGGCATATCCCAGCGATGGAGAGGGCGTGGCTGCGTAGTTTAATTGAAGCTGCCTACGCCTTGATAAGCTAATGCCGTTTAGAGACTGTTGTAATCATGTGCTCGTCCAGCACGAGACAGCTTGGTAATTGTCCCAGGTCGAAATACCTAACGAAAAAGCGCTTACGCCTCCTTCGAGCGAGGTACGCAGCCACGCCCTCTCCATCCCCGGGATATGGAGCGTACAAATTATCTACATCATGACATACCATAATTCACAGATTAAGCCTTACCTAACACTTCTTGTATATGTATTGATTACGGTGGCTCATACGCGAATTATGGGTTACTACATATGGATTAACCAACGCACACACACTTCATCGATCGCGCCAGCTATAACGTGAAGTTAGTGCACAAGCACAATATGACCTTTACCGTACTCCGTTTGTGGACTCGGATGACTGAGGTATTTTGCTCGATGTATTTTGAGTTGCTATTGATGCTATTGATCCGTATTGATTTGCTTTGCATTCTATGACTGATTGTAATGTTCATAAGGTTGATTGATTCATATCTCCGGTTGTATTTGTCGATTATTGTCTACACATTGTTCACTGTTGATTTGATTTTACGACGGCCCTAGCTCAAAACAGCGTTGAAGGGTTCAGAAGTGAGACTTATTGCGACACGTTATCACACCTGCAACGTTATTCTCAAATAATTATAAGAATCAGGCCATTCATCACTAAGAAACCTTAAAGCACATTGACTACCTAAAGCCCTATTCTCACTTTGCCAAGTCGTATAGCACATTGCGGTGGCGCTGATCTCTATATTCAACGGAAGCTGAGTATATGCAGGCTGTAGATCGCAACTAGGGTGTTTTATCGCATTCGAAACCTAGCATCGTGCGCGAACCAGCAGACTACCTGCATTTTATCGCGGATCAGGGAAATCTTCCTTCACATGGCACATCACAGCATGGATGTGCTGAAATAAAGCCCATGATGCGCTGCCTTTAGTCTTTTATACATGTATCCACTGTCGTTTACCCCCTTATCCCAAGATGGAGATGGCATTACTAGGTGTTCATTTCAGCGTGTGGATGGCCACGCTTTTGTGTAAAATTGCCGTTTTGGAACAATTGCAATCATGCGTTTTCCAGAACAAGACGGGATGACAGCAGCCCCAACAAAAAAATATCCAACGAAAAACTTTGATGCGTCATGCTTGAGTGAACTGCGCGGCCACGCCTCCCCCATCTACGAGGTAGGACTGTGCTTCCGTGCATGCATAGCTGCTCTGCCCACCAGCATCGCCGCAATGCACTTTTTGCTTTCGCAAAGCTAGGAGTAGTGCCTAGTGGCGCGTCGTCTGCGGCGCGAGCGGTTGCGATGTGAAGACTCGGTGAATAAAGCAGTGGCTAGGTCCGCGTCGCGTCCGCTCGCGTCACCAAACGTCGCACACACAATCACCTCATTCGCTAGATAATGATCGGACTATACCTGTATTTACGACGTCTTTTAGGCGTCACATCACGATATCGCGAGCTGCGTATCGGCGTTCGCGAACTGCTACGTGATCGTGAGCGATTTCCGGACCGTGAACGCGAATATACCCGTATGCGACGCTCTTCGACTCGTGCGAACAGATTATCACGCGATGATGTAGATGATGTTGAAGATTTGGTCTCTTTTGATTTTTCTGTGCTATAAGACCTGCAAACATATTTGTGATGTGAATGTTGGCCATGAGAATAAATTTGCATGCCATGAGCAAGTGTGTTTCACAGCCATATGTCCCACCCCACTCAAGTCTTATGCATGGTCACTTTTTTATTGGGTCGTTTCGGAAGCTTTTGATCATCTCTTCGAGAACAGCTATAAACATTTGCTGTCTTTTTGCACTCTTATTCGCTGTGGACGATGGGGCGTGTCAAGGGCAGATGAGTTTGATGCTTCGTCAACAAGTAAAGCAGAAAAACCGTAGCATATCGCTCGCATCTTTCGTTTTCCACCAGTTGTTCTGTTCCACACCCGCTTCAGCTACTGATGGAGAAGGGGCTGGCAGCGCGCCAGACCTAGCCTCACTGACACGCCCCATCGCCCGCGGAGACAAGCGTGTACATGGCGCCAGACTAGGTGAACGACAGAAAGCATGCACGACAGTGGTAGATCAAAAGGGTCGATCAATGTTGTAACAGCCCTTCCGTGCAAACTACTAGTGCGCAAGTCCCCGCAAGCTTCCACCAAACGTTTTCACCATTGTTCGTAAGTAGATCACAAAAGTGCGACGCCAGAAAGGTGCGTCTATTGCGTCTGTTGTATAGCCAGGATCATGAATAGCTAGCGTTCATAGGCGCATTTCACCGTGTGTGCGATACAGCTACCTATTGTACCTTCCCCCACAGATGTGCCTCCCTTCTTTGGCGCCTGATAAGTAGCGTCGATCTTATGAGGAAGGCGCAACCGCTGATTGTCCCCGCCCACACGATCATCATGCACTGATCTTATGCCTTCGAAACTTGAATGGAACATACACATATACACTAGATGCCAAGTAAAGCAACGGCCACAGCATGTGGTAACACTCGCGAAAATTTCGAAGGAGTTCCGTTTTAGGGAGGGGTGACTGTAACACGAAAGAAATGCTGACCTGTGTGACGAGCGAGACCCGGTGCTGCCATTTCCTGAACGTCCTTGATGCGACGATGCTGGAGATCTCTGAACAACTTACAGTTATTCTTAGACTTAAGAATTTTTGTAAACGCGACGTGATTTACTATTCAAGCTTGGCTCGTCTCACTTTATCCTAGAAAAACGAGGGCTGTTGTTTTCGAATGTCGTTTCGCATCCATCATCAGGACATCTTTATCCTATTTTCCAAAGGGAGGCACATTCTGGGTTCCGCTGCAGGAGTACAGGCTCTGCCCTCCAGCCCATTTAGTGGGTAGGCGAACGCTCTTGTATCTGTTGTCTCCATAGTCCTTGTGCACTCTCATAGCTTGGTAGTCTGACCCCACGTCAAGATAATAGTTCTTTCTGAATACACTTGTACAGTGCTTAAAGCCTAAGAGAGTCTTTTCAGCGGCGTTTCCGGAGGTTTTTTCTACTTTCAGTGAGGGCTGGAATTTCCCCAAGTATATAGAAGGGTGTGCCTTCGAATGGAAAACTTCGTTCTGCCTCTGGGAAGACCCTGATGTAATCCGGATCACGCTCAATTATTTTAACCGGGTTCTAACCATGACGAACAGTATTGAAGCTGAGCGTAAGAAAAGCAATTGAAAAGAGACATGTCAAGAAAAATCAAAAAATCAATAAAAATGTCAACGAAAAATGATATTGTTATTGATTTGATATATAGTTGCTATATCGTAGCAATAAGTCAAGGCAGTGGCAGTTGGCAGAGAGTGAGTCCACACGTGGCGTTTTCGCAGCTGGCGGGCTCATTCCGTCCATCCTGACAATGCCCCGACTTAATGCGATGATATCAGTTGCAACGCTTTGACATCCACGCCCACATTCATACCCACGGAATATGGTCCACGTCTTTATGAGTACTTCTAAGCCTGATCTGTGCTGAAAACAATTAATTAATAACTACCTAAAAAACTCACATTATCGTGTTCATGCTCTTGCCTTTCCATGTTTTGTAACAGAGACAATATAGCCTCTTTGTTGGCTAGGAGGAACGATTGCAATCCTGAAGTTGTAGTTCATTGAACACAAGTGAAGAAGTAAAATATTAAGGCTGCATTGACTGTCAGTGTCAGATGGTGCACTAATTACTCATGGACCTTCATGTTAGAGGTATAAAATGCCGCCCCATTATGACAATAATTTTTGGAAACGGAGGGTCACGCTCAACGAGCTACCGATGAGAAGAGAGCTGGACGACGTGGAAGACATAGCAACGACGGAGTGAAGCCATAAAACAGAATATGTACGTGCCAAAACGAGCCGTTTCATGGAGCTTGGATTTGCATTACAACCATGTGAATCGATCAATATCAATACTGTTGAAGGCCATCATCAAAATGCATTACGTTCAACTGAATGAATGGTACGATTATGCGCTCTGCGGCATCACCTTTAAAATTTCTAAACGCAATCTAGCATAACAAAAAGGTTGTGACGCTGAAAAATGGTCTAGCGAAGAGTTGTCAAACATTACTTTGAAAGATTTCAGCAGGAAGGTAGTTCTCCTGCAGGGTCAGGTCGGCGCCGAGAAAAATTGCTTCCTCAAAGCAACGACTCAATATCCGTTGAGCGCTGCGGGAACTCGACTCTTCAAAGCAACTACCAGAAATAGTGAAATTCCCGCGCCGTCGACTAGAAGGGAAGAGGGCTGACAGCGCGCCTGAAACGGAAAAAATCAACAAAGACGATATCACGCAGATACCCCAGTGACTCTCTCGCGCAGCAATCGAGTACAACCCCATCGAGGATGTCTCAACATGCGCTTGTCCCTGATCTCTGGTCGCGCTGTAAATTATCCACACGAGCGAAGTGGGTGTGAACTAATAAGGGCGAATGTTTCTGTAAAATAGCTTCAATCCCATACTTATTAGTAAAGAACTGTCAAGCTTAGTCAATAGTGGCTGTTCGACTCGATTCATAAAATGGATACATTGAATGGGGTTTCTGCTGTGCTCTTTGATGCATTTAATCAGGTACGAATCGCCGGTAAACATCATACAACGAAGTTCAAGTTCACTGCACACAACCCCACAGTATAACTTATTTTAGTCAAAAGATGGTGAAATGAGGATTTTTCACCATAAGAACTGGATGATCTCCAAATCTAAAACCGCCTCTCGTGCCGAGCCTCACGTTTTCGAAAAACTGGCAGACTTGTGAATGTTTTACTAATCCTCCGCTTAGCCCCTCTGAAATGCTCTCTAAAAGGCAGTTGCCCACGTCGCAATCAAGCTTCAAGCTTCACTTTCCTGACTACTTCATGGGCATTTTCAGTTTTTTTCAATTTCAAGCTCAATTTTTGGCATGGATCGACAGCACACAGCTGCACAGCTTTTAAAATAAAATGCGGAAATAAAATAAATATACGAATGCTAGGTCAACTGCCTCCGAAATTTGAATCCTGCATCTTCAGAAGCCCTCCAGAAAAGCTAAAGAAACGTATTCTGTCTTGCGCGAATAGGTAAAGCGAAAGCGGCGTCGAGACCAGAGGACTCGCCGAGATCGGTCCAAGTCAGTGAGCCTTCCCCTCCTGCAGCGATTGATGGATACTAGGCTTGATGAGAGTGCCGAAATGCCCTCATGAACATTGTGTTGTCCCTCACACAGCTGATGACGTCGCAATCGTGCTTCCTTCAGCTCCCTCTGCTATACCACTGAAGATAGGTTAGTGGTCGGTGTCGGAAGGAAACAGTGAAAATGCCGCGGATGAGCTTATTCCATCCTCCTTGAAACCTCCCGACTATTTGCAGCTATACCAGACTGTAAGTCAACAATCAGGCCGTAAGCATTAATTAATATCATACGCGTGAATGCCTGATTGTGATGAAGCCATGGGCAATGATTGGAGTCACCGCGAACATCGTCTCTGAAACCGTTCAGCTTCTTCAGCTCCTGGCTCATCAATGACTAGGATTCCCACGGAATTCATCACCAGAAAAACGCTCAACTCCCGGGACTTCACCAGACCAGATTCCACATTGCTGCCTTTTCAACGATAATAAAACTTTGCCCGATTAATTGTCATTATATTGAGGGTTCTACGCACGGACGTAGTACCATGACCACTACGGTGCCTTACACCACGTTACATTACCACTCACGAGTATGGGAGAAGGAAGGGTGGAACGCCTCAAGCACCATTATGGTTTTCATGACACATGGTGATCAGGTAGAGAATTAAAGCAAATCAAAGGTGTGATGCTCCTCTGTATGCAGGCAAGCTAAACCACTGCTTTCAATCTCATGCGAAGCCAAAGAGATCCACCACCATCGTATACCTCAAGAAGGCCTTTATTAATTGTGTCAGTCCTGAGCAGTTGTGTTAGTTCCAGGCTACAATAATAAGTATTAGGCAACCAAAAAAGTTCGTGCGGTTTTTTTTGTTTACTTTTATGAAGTATTCAGTAAACTGGATCTAGTGGTAGGGTAACTTTGAATACATGTTAAGACATATGTCAAGGAGTGTCATTCAGTGTATTTGTTAATTTAGATTACTTTCAATTAAGGCGAACAGAAAAGTTGTGGTTTTCCACCAGGACAATGCTAGACCACGCACCAAGAATCACTCAGGAAACAATAGCGCGACTAGGATGGGAAATTCTACCTCACCCTCCGTACTCGCCAGACCTTGCTCCAAGTGACTATCATCTGTTTTTGGCCTTGGACAACCACATGAGGAATCGGCGATTTGAAAATGAAGTGGCTTTGGACAACGAACTAAAACATTT